GCTCGCGCTAACCGAGCGCCCTGATTGGTCGGGGTTTTTTGTTAATAACTCCTCAACCACGCCTCGGACAACTTTTTTGCTAAGGAAAATGTTTTTTAAAATCATGTCAGGAACACCAGATAAGGATTCAAATACCAGACAAGGAACTATTATTAAAAATATTTAAACAATAAAAAGGATAATGTGATAAGGGATTTAATTTTTATAGTTATTCACGATGCAAATGGTTTAATCGAATTAATAAATTACGCGCGAGCATTGTTTAGCCGCGATGGCCGCGCGTCAGCTCGAAGAACGGTACCGTTTGCAAAAATGTTTAGTCTTTTGTAGTTGCGTTTTATTATCATCTGCTCGATTGCTCATTGATTCCTCTAGGATACACTTTGCTTTATTCTACGCGGGCTAGGAATTCGTTTCTCGTCGTTTCAAGAAGAGAAAGTAGTTATGACATAAGAACATTATTAGTCATCAAAAAAGTACCTATGGTCGAAAGAAAATGGTTCGTCTCGTGATTCACATCCGATATCGATGGTTTACATTAAAGGTAAATATATTGATAACGAAATATATAATTGAATGCATAAATATATTGTGAACAACAATAAATATAGGAGGTAGTAAAAATATTGTTCGAGTGGGCTACAAACAAATATACGTGTACGCAGTATAAAATAGAATACAATAAATTAAGAGAAGTAAAACGGAAAATTAATTAACGAACATTACGTATAGCGTTTTCTATGACCCATCGATATTCCCTTGATTCGATCTGCGAATCGCCTGGACGTCGCGTAGACGTCTAAAAAAAAAAGTATCTCAGTCTCAGCCGTCGAAGGTGACTCCCCGAGTGGCGGGCACGGCAACGCGAGCTCGAGAGACAGAGAGAGAGAGAGAGAAAATAGATGAAAAGCGATGCTCTAGGAATGGGGCGCGCACACGCGCGCTCGCGCGCGCGCGAAAGTAAAGCGTTTCCCCTCTTGTTCTCGTAGGCGTTTTGGCGTTTTCTTTTTTTCTTTTCTTTATTAATCATCGTCGTCGAGGCCGAGCAGCTCCGGCGGTAGCCGCCTGTGCCGGCAGCACAGCGTCAGACAGAGCACGCGAGCCGCCAGCCGAAACTGCGGGCTCAACGTTCCCAGGACCACCGCCTTCCAAAAACTGTTCGTCACTCCCAGCCATACCACTGCGAAGTGCAGGAACGGTACCTGCAACAACGATCAAACCAATCCAACCAGTCATTAGAATTATATTTAGTAAAACGAGCGATCGCTCTGAAGTTAGAACGCTTTTTATCTGAAACCAATTGGACGTGAGAAAAATGGCGGCAATTTTGACAAGGCGTGGATAAAATTTAGTAATTAATCGTTAGATAATTATAAGTCAGTGAGTAGACGTTCTGACGTGAACAGAAACTGAAAGATTTACTATAGTGCAGTAATTATATTTTCAATGATTTTATTATATAGGCCTCATTTACAGAAATTTTTAATTTCTTTTTTATAATTCCAACAATCTAAAAATAGTGCATTAGCAACTTTAGAATATTGCTCCACTGGTCCCCGTATTATAAAACTCGCGTATAAACGATTGAGAAAGTTCAGCATAAATTCTTACGGCTCCTTGCGTATCATAAGGGCACCCCTTGACCTATTACAACTGGTACTCTCGCCGAATCTAAATTAAGCTCACTAGAAATGAGGAAACCCTTTCACGTCACTTTAAATTAGTTGAAAAATTCCAAATTATCCTGCTAATACCTTAAAAGAATACTAATTATTCTTTATACAGTCGGATTCAT